CATTATATACACATATACATATAAATGTAAATACATATACGTGCACATGTATATGCATGTCTATCTCTATCTCTGTCTACCTCCACACACACATTTGTAGATTTTGTCATTTAAATAATAGTCACTATTCTTCATATACACACATATAAATACACATATGCACGCGCACACACACACACACACATATATTTGTGAGTTTTGCTTTGTTGCCATAGATTTACTGCTGTTGTCGTTTAAATAATGACCACCATTCTTTTTCACACATATACATATATACACATATGTGCACACCTATATATGTATGTGTACATATGCACGCACACTTTTGTGGGTTTTGCTTTGTTACCATAGGTTTGCCGCTATCATTTAAATAATAGTCCCCATTCTTCTTCACACCCACACAATAAACAGTTCACTAAGCCCTGGAGATTAAAAACTAAAAAGCCAGAGAGTTCTTATGGTCAAGCAGTAAGAGCCAGCTTTCCTGGATGTCTTGGTTTCCAGTCTGATGGGGAGGCCCCGTGGTCCTCAGGGAGGGGAGCCAAAGCAGATGGTAATGAATCTTTACCATCATGTCCATTGTTAAAGCCATATCTATGTCTGACATTGAACACTATAGTTTACCAAGAACTCTAATGGCCAGAGCTTTCTTTCGAGGTCTTTGGTTGCTGTAACTGCTGAGGAGAATGGCAAGGGGCTGCAGCAACCTTAGGGTCAGTTGTCAGGTCTCAATTTCCCAAGTGTTGCTCTCATTGACAACAGTGACAGTGGTGTGGGAGGATGGGGTGCTGCAATTGCTGGGGCTCTGGGGCTTACCTGTCTGCGGCCCTGAGCAGTCAAAAGACTTGTCCATAGCGTGAAAGTTAGGCAGTAGCAGAACCAAGACTAGAATCCAGCACGCTTTCCTCTCAGGCCAATTGCTGTTCCCTTTCTATCACAGTGGAGTTTAATGGAGATGAAGTGATCTGAGCTCTTCAGAGGTGAATGTAAAGGCTGATATATAGGTAACAACAAGGAACCAAATAAAGTGGAAATGTATACTTCTCCCTCGAAAGGAGTCTAAGATTTGCAAATTGCTTTATTATCTTATTTGATCCTCCCAACAATCCTGTGAGGTGGAAAATATTATCCCCATTTCCCAGAGAAGGAAACTGAGGCTGAGAGGGTATGACTTCACACATAGAAACATACCTGTTTTTCTCACCCATGCACAGATGGCTAACAAGCAAAAAACAAGCTTTATTTGTTTTTTAAACATTTATTTATTTATTTTAAATTTATGGTGTAAAAGAAGCATTTCCATAACATAATATAATAAAAAAAGATGATTACACATGCAACTGCAAATCTAGTATGTACAACTTGCTATTCCTTGGGGGGGAGAGAAAAAAGGGAAGGGAAAGAAAAAAATAAATGCACAAGCTTTATTTCAGTACATAAGACACAGTGTGCCCCTGGGCAAGTCATTTAATTCTCTCAGACAGCCTCAGTTCCCTCATCTGAAAAATGAGGGGCTTGGACTGAGTGGTGTCTGAGGTTCCTTCCATCTCTGCTCTGGAATCCTGAGGGAAGAATTCTCCTAAGTCCCCACGTTGCTGTCCCCTCACCATTGAGCCTCTTGGTTTCTCTGGCTCAGCCCTGGTCTCTCTCCATTACTCCCTGTAGAAGAGGCACCCTCCAATCCTCTACAGCAAATGGAAGATTTTTGAAGAGCTCTCTTATTCTGGCCAAACTACCTCCAACAACAGGTGCAGGGTTTCTGCGACAGCGCTACTGAAAATAGTGACTGGAAGGAAGGAAGTGGTAAGGCCTCAGAGCTCGTTTTAGTGTTAAATTAGTCTGTCCAAGAACCTGGGGCCTAGCTTCCAGGGCTGCAACATATTTCCTGACAAGAGGCTTTGGAGAGCTGTTTATATTTCTTGAGGAAGAAAACACACACATACACACACACGCACACAAACACACACACACACACACACACACACACACACACACACACACACACACACACACACAGCACAGCCCAAAGCCTAACATTTCTTTCTCCAAGCTGCTCTTTGCGGGTCTGGTCAGCTTCTCAAGTCCAATAAACATGTTCAAACAAGGGCCGCTGTCTGGGTGGAATTTATCTTGCTAAGGCTGTGCAACAGCAGCTTGGTTAACCCCTCTTGAACAGCATGAACAAAACCACACACAAACTGTACAAGGCAGTCTGGGTGGTGGAAACGGTGAGGTGGACGGGCAAAACTGTTCCTGCAGCTGCTGGGGTTGACTTGAAGATGTTCTCTTCCTTTGGACTCTTCTAAAAAAATTTTTTTTAGGTTCAGTTTCTAGTAAAATTTGCTTTCTGAAAGAGTCTTTTTCTAAATGCAAACATTTGTCCACACCGGTAGATTCTCCAGTCTGACACAAAGAGCCTGAGTGCTGCTGAGGGGCCAGAATCATGAATGTGCCCATCTGTGAGTATTAGAGGTGAAAATTCCAAACTCCAAAAAGGTCCATTCCATTTCAGACCCTGCAGAGTAGAGTAAATTAAAATTAAAACTTATCAAACACATATTCTCTGCAAAAATAGGACCAGGGCTACAAAGACAAAAAAAAAAGCTTTCTTGCCCTCAGGGAGATTACATCTATGTAATCATTCAGAATCCCTAGTTTTTTTCAAGGCTTGAAACTCCCCCTACCTTCTACATGAAGGCTTCTTAATCTAGGGTCTATGAATTTGTTTTTTAAAACCATTTTGCTATTTCAGTATAGTTCATATTTCAATATAATTGGTTTCCTTTATAATTCTCTGCATTTTATTTTATGCATTTAAAAATGTTGTTCTGGAAAGAGATCCATAGATTTAAGCAGGTTGCTGAAAGGGTTCAGGACTTTATGTGAAACTTTTCATGATCCTTCTGGCTCCTGGTGCCTCTCCACCCAAATTACCTTGTATCTATTTAAATATAAATGTATACATTTGTATATTGTATACACAAATACACATGCACATGTTGTCTCCTTCATCGACTATAAGTCCCTTGAGCGTCTGTGACTGTGACTGTGACCGTGTCACTTTTGTCTTTTCAATCTAGCCTCTAGCATGGGGTGTAGTAGGCAGTAGGTGTTTAATAAACGTTTGTTGCTTGTTTGCTTGATTCAGTTCCTCAGACAGATCTATGACCTCGCTGATTTTGACGTTCCCTTCAATGATGCAGATACTATCCCCTTCATTGGCTGCCCATCTTGTGTAATTCTTTTTATATCCTACCCTAATTTTGCCACGAGGGGGTCACCCAATATGTTCAGGGCCTTCCTTGGTCTTTCCTGAAATCTGAAGGATGCTAGTGAATCACCTGAGCTGGTTACTTCTTATTCCACACCTTTACCACATGGATAAAGATGTAGTAATAACAGTTATAATAACAATGTTATTATGTAGTTTAGGTTTGCAAAGCTCTTTCTATATGTTACTTAATTTAAAGTATGTAAGAGGTAATAATCCTATATACTATATATGATTATATATATATAATTTTAAATTAAATACACAGTTAAGTTTTGCAAAGCTCTTTCTATATGTTACTTCATTTGATGTAAATAGGAGGTGATAATACTATATACCACATATAATTTGTACATAAAATACACTATATGTAGTTTATATATATATAATTTAAGTTAAATACATAGCTAAGTTTTGCAAAGCTCTTTTTATATGTTACTTCATTTGATGTATTTAAGAGGTAATACTGTATATAATTTTATATATAATATACTTTATATAATTTTATATATGTATAATTTAAGTTAAATACAAAGTTAAGTTTTGCAAAGCTCTTTCTATATGTTACTTCATTTGATGTACATAGGAGGTAATAATACTATATACTATACCCTCTCAGGTAGATGCTACTATTATCTCCATTTCACTGTTGAAGAAACTGAAGCAGACAGAGGTTAAGTGACTTGTCCAGAGTCACACAGCTAGGAAGTGTCTGAGAGAGGGTTTAAACTCAGGTCTTCCTGACTCCAGGCTCACAGCTGTACCTGCTGCACTACCTAGGGTATGGCACATGGGCTGAGCCTTGAAGTGGGCTAAGCATTCTGAGATGCAGAGGTGAGAGTGTATTCCAGGTGTTAGAGACAGCTCGTGCACAGCCACAGTATGGGAGAGGCTGTTGAGTTCAGGGAAGCCAGCACCAGGAGCTGTCCAGTTTGTCATGTTTGTGTTGCTGCTCTTCAGACAGGTGAGATACAGAATTATGGGATGATGAGACTGGATGAGACCTCATTTTGATGAGTGACTGAGGCATTTATACAAAGTCACCTCACTAAGCATTTGGCTTATATTCTCCCTAGTATTGTTTCCTCTCTCATTGTTTCTTGTATGTGAATTTTGTGTCACTTGTCGTTCATTTTCCAGTCGAGTTCAACTCTCTGTGACCCCATTTGGGGTTTTCTTGGCAGAGATACTGGAGTGCTGTGCAATTTCCTTCTCCAGTTCATTTTCAGATGAGAAATTAAGGGAAACAGGGTCAAGTGACTTGCCTAGGGTCACACAGCTAGTATCTGAGGTCAGATTTGAACTCAGGGAGAAGAATCTTCCTGACTCCAGGACTGGCACTCCATCCACAGCACCATATAGCTGCCCTTTGTTTCTCTAGCTAGATTACAAATTCAGTGAGAGCATGGCCTGGGTCTGACCCTTCCCTTATACCCCCAAGTACAATGTTAGGTGTGTGGTTCACAGAATCCTAAAATGTTAGAATTCAAAAGAATATTGGAGATCATTGAGTTCAACCTCCCTCTTTTTTTTTTAGATGAGGAAATTGAAGGCCACAAAAGGTAAATTAACTTGCCTAAGGTCACACATGACTAGTGAGTGTTAGAACCAGATGTCCAACCCAGGTCTTTGGGCTCCAAATCCAGAAACCATCTTTTGCATGCAGTTTCATTTTCATACTTAGAAATGTAAATTAGCTGAGACCCCACAGACTATGAAAAAAAAATCACACTATGGACTTTTATTAAGAACATAAACTACAACTCAAACTCTCAGCTAAATCATGGCCAGGACCCTGGAGAAATGTGGGAAGGAAAGCATGGACTGCATAAGCGACCTCATTTGATGTACATAGAAGGTAATCATACTATATACTGTACCCTGTGGTTGTTTTGGTTCTTATGGCTAGTTCCCAATTAAGCAATGGTCAAAGGACATGAATAGGCAGTTCTCAAAAGAAGTTCAGAGGGAGGACTGAGACTCTTTTTTTTTTTTTGAAAAGGCCAATGGTTTTTCTTGACCATACGTGTTTATAACAAGGGTTTTGTTTTTCTTGCTTTCTCGATTTGTGAGGGGAGAGAGAAATGGGAGGCAGAGAATGCAGATCTAAATAAAATAAAATTTAACTTAATAAATGAAAGAAAAATTCTTTAAAATTAAATATTGTGACTGAAAGTTTGATTTAAAATAATGCAACTCAAAATGGATTTCTAAAAATTCTCCCCACTGAAAAGAAACGTTAGTCATCTTAGGCGCCAACTAGAATTTGCCGGAAATGTCAGTTGTTAGACTCCATGAAAGTGGAGTTGGAGCTGGGTGTTTCTAGATTAGTAGAGCTAGGGAGGTGTAAAGAAGGGGGAACTGGTTTGGTTCTGATTCTAGATGTTTGTAGTTCATCCTTCGTTCTCAAAGAGGACCAATGACATCAAGAAGGTGATGTCTTGACTTGCAAGTTAATTGGGTTTAAGTGAAGCAGGGCTGTGCAAAGCGTCAGCCTCACTCTCTCCTCCGAGTCATCAGGAGTCCAGTGGCAAGATATAAGTAAAAAAAAAACAAACAAACTGGCAATGGCCCAGAAGTTCTGATTCCACTGAGGAATCTGGGGAAAGAACTAAATTTCCCATCTAGAATCAAATGATTGAGTTATGTAGTTACACTCCATGTCTTACTGAAGCTTTTCCTCTTCCCCAGTATCCAATGCTATATGCTATGCTCTAGTTGTAATGAATTGAATGGAAGGCTACATAGAGAAAAGGGAAGGGAGTAAGTATTTATTAAGCACCTACTATATGCCAGGCACTGTGTTAAGCATGTTACATGTCAATTGTTCAGTCATTGTGTTACAGGGAAAGAACAAAGGGTCAACTCCAGAATCATAGATGCTCGGAATCATCTAAACTCTGCTTGAAGATCTCTGACGATGGGGAGCTTAGTATCTACAGAGGCAGCCCATTCCACTTTTCTTTCTTTCAATTAATTAATTAATTAATTAATTTAATTTTTAGTTTTCAACATTCACTTCCATAAGATTTTGAGTTTCAAACTTTCTCCCCATCTCTCCCCTCCCATTCCACTTTTCAATAGCTCAAATCAAGAGAAAGTGGGGGTTTTTTTGGTTTTTTGTTTCTGTTTTTTTGCAGTCAATCAATCTACAAGCATTTATCAGGTCTATTATGGTCTAGGTTAAAGCTAAGTGCTGAGAATTCAAATACAAGTGGAAATAAAGGCAGTCCCATCTCTCAAGGGGGTTACATTCCAGTGAAGGAAGATAACACAAAAGGATGCTAAAAAATTGGGAATAGGGCATGGTAGAAGTCTGGGGTATAGCCTGGAGAGGAATGAGACATGGCTGGTCTGGGCATCCTCTTTAAATAGTGGCCCTGAAAAGAGCCATTCAATCAGAGAGAGAGGCCATAGAAGTGAAGGTTACTTCCCAGGGGTAGAGTGAAGCTTTGGAATGAAGACCCAAGGCATGGCAGAGCAGGTCCCAAATGCAGTCTAGAGAAAAATAAGGGAAATTGTATAGGGGATATGGTGATTTTGTTGCTAGGAGGAACGTAGAAAAAAGTCATCAGTGCGACCTTGTCCTTTTCAGTGCTGCTTCTGAATTGATTTTCATGGTAACCGGGAGTACGAAGAGGTTGAAAGGAAGTCCTTCACTAAGACCTGGCAGACACCCTCCACCTGACAGGAGTAACAATCCCACCTAGAAGAAAATCATGGCAGAGATGACAAAGCAGTGAGGACCCCAGCTCAGCTTTTTAAAAAAAGACCAGAACACCAGCTATTCTGCAGCAGAAGAGGCATAAGTTGTCCCAGATACATGTGAACTTTGATCACATGTGTTTTTAACATGCATGCCCCGTTCTTTGTATTTCCTGGTCATGCATGTTCCCCAAGGATGTCTCCTATTGTACTGGAAGTATGGTAACTTATGAGAGAATGTATCCCTGTGCATATAGGAGAAAGCTTTTTTTTTTATCTTATATTAAATTATATTTAATACCATACAATGTTTTTTGTTTTTTATGCTTTAAACTAACGTGTCTTCTGGTTGTCTCACACAAGAAACACATTGATGGGGTCTCAGGAGCTGGATTAAATGAATGATGACATATCTCTAACATACCTCTAACCTGGAGTAACATTTGAAGGGTGGAATACAACTGGGACAGGGGAACAGGTGCTATGCTTACTAGGAACTGAAATCTCCCTTTCTGCAACTTCTACTCGTTGCTTTAGTTCTGCCCTCTGGTCACCCTTCTCTCTATTTTTGCCAGTCTTACCACAAGCAGGAACGCAGGAGAGTTGAGCTAGAGGAGAAGGAAGATAGATGCTGCTTCTGATAGCTGAAAGACTCTTTCTAACTCTGATATTGTCTGTGGGCACCAGCTAAAAAGCAGATTTTAGAGGGCAATTGGGGGTGCAGTGGATAGAGTGCCAGTATCCACTCCAGTATCTTTGCCAAGAAAACCCCAAGTGGATTCACAAAGAGTCGGACGTGATTGAAAAATGACTGAGCAACAACAAATTCCTAAATTGGACCTTGTTTTACAAATGTAAAGCTGAATCTCTTGACAAGAGGGAACACAAAAGAGCCAAATGAGATCTATGTAGCAGAGCACTGGAAAGAAGTCTGGCTGCCAAAATGACTTTCCCTGTTTGTGTAGTGAGACTCTGGATTTACTTTCCCAACCCACATGAGCACTGGTGAGATGAGTGTCCACAGTATGGCTGCTGTCCCTGTCAGGGTTCTAGGGATACCCCTTCGGGGGCAGTGGGACTCTTCTCATGCTATCAACTCAGGCCTCCATTCTGATGTGTTCCCTCCAGTATCAATCACCTAGAACTAATTAATCTGTCCTCAGTATAATCAATACCAATAATTAGTGCCCTAATAATTTAGTTGATATCTCCTCAATGTCACTGATAATCAATTAACATCAATTAGTTTTTTATAATAAGAACCAAAATACCAATACATCTCCCCGATGGAGGCATACTCTACCACCATAGTTTTAGGAGGTTGTTACAAGGCATTTGCACCCATTAAGTTCACTTCCAAATGCGGCATAACTAATTCTGGAAGTCACTCCCTTCCTTGGAGAGCGTGACTTTTTCATTGCTGAGTTGACCCACCACCATGCTGGGTCAGGCAATATGCTTCTCAGGCCGTCATGGAGCATGACGGCTGCCCAATCCAGTATGGCCTCCAGTTCCTGGACCTAGTCCATTTCAGCTCTTATATTCATTCACCTAAAAGCAGAAAAGAATGAAGCATATCAGAGAGAGAAAGCCAGCAGTATTTTGTGGGCAAAGGCACATGGCATCTTGAGTTGAGAAATAAAGACCTAAGCTTCTCTCTCTACCCAGAGGCTTGTAGAATGCCTTCTCTGGATTGCCAGCAGGAGACAAAGCCAGATTTGGTCTCTTCTTGTCTTTTTGTATGTACTCTCCATTATGACTTGGCAAACCATTAAACGGCCTTTCTTTACTAGGAAGTAAACATACAGGAAACAATCACAAAAGACACATATGTACATACTCCCTGAAGTGGAGATCAGGACCTTCCATAGCACAAGTCTGGAAATAGCATCTCCATGCAAGCATGAGGATTCAAAGAGGAAGGGGGGAAGGGAGGGAAGTCAATATTTGTATAGCACCTACTGTGTGCCAGGTACTGTACTAAGCACTTTACACATTTGATTACTCATTTGACCCTCAAAACAACCCTGTTAGAGGTAGATATTATCCCATCTTACAGATGAGGAAACTGAGGCAAACAGAGGTTAAATGACTTGCCTAGACATAAAGCTAACAAGTATCCAAGGCAGCATCTGAATTCGTGCTCCTGACTCCGGGTCCAGTGTTCTACCCACTCTACCACCTAGCTGCCTCAGAAGTGTGTTATAACCAGCTCAAACCAGTTCTTGGGCAGACTGTTAAATTTTTAATGTAAACATTTACACCTCATAAATTTACAAACACCAAAAACCTTGGCTTGATTTATTGTTTTGTTGAATGTCTAGTTTAGATTTAAGAAACTGATGAGGAAGTATTAATAATGCAGATTAACCCTAAAAATGAACCTTGCATAAAAACTTTTTTTGAAGAGCTGGTTGTTAAACATTCCCTAGCATCCCCTGGCACTAAACTCTGTGAATACTAGCAGTACTGGGCCCCTATCAGCCATTCTTCTGTTGTATCTATAAAGGCCCTTCCTTATGCTTTGTGTGTGCCAAAGGAAGTCCTGAACAGCGGCAAAATGCCTGAGGCCTCGGACAAAGAATACCCGACTACTGTTGTAAACAATTATTGCATCCCTTAACAACGCCTCCTGAGCCCTCCCACTTCTCCTTCACATATGCCTGCGTTAGAGGTCATTGAAACGGCATTCTTGCTATTAATCATCCTATCCTATTCTTACATACCTTCTCCCCCCTCTCCTTTTCTTTCTCCCTCTCCCTTTCTCCCTCCTTCCCTTCCCCCCTTCCCTCTTTTTCCTTCCCTCCTCTCTCTTCTTCCCTCTTCCCCTCTTCCCCCTTTCTTTCTGTTCCTGGTGGCAATATTCTCTCCTGTTTCTCTCTTCCTACCCATCTAAATGCTGGCTCATCATCCATCTCACTTTCCCTAATGGTGAGTCTTTCCAAGACTCTCCTGACCATTCTTCTCATCTCTATCCCTTCCATCTTAGCCACTCCATCAACTCTCATAGCTTTAATGATCATTCCCCTACAGATGACTCTTAGTCTATCGATCTAGCCCCAGTCTGTTCCCTGAGTTTCAGTCCCATATCACCAACTGCATCTTGCACATTTGAACCCAGTATCTAGGAGACATCTGAAACTCAACATATCCAAAGTAAAACAAATTGACTTTTCCTCCTAAACTTCCCCCTTTCCAAACTTCCTCATCTCTGCTAAAGGCACCACCCAGGTCTATATCCTCAATGTTCTCATCCATTCCTCATTTTTCTCACTCCACCTATCCAGTCAGGTGCTAAATCTTGCCTTGGTTACCTTCATAAGATGTGTGGAATCCTACCCTTTCTCTCTGCCTACAAAGCTGCCATCTTTGTTCAGGTCACCTTGTCTAGACTATGGCATCTTGGTCTTCCTCTCTCAAGATTCTCCCCACTCTAGTCCAAAATAATTTTATTTAAGCCCAAGTCTGACCATGGTCTTTTTTATTACTCAATAAACTCCATTAGCTTCTTATTCCCTCCAAGATCAAATGCAAACTCCTCTGTTTAGCTTTTAAAGTCTTTCTTAACCTGGCCCTAGTCTATCTTTCCAGGCTCCACCTTCCATGTTTTGAAATCCAATCAGACTGACCTTCACTCTGTTCTCACACAGGGCACGTCATCTTTCATCACCATGCCTTTGCACTGCCTGTTCCTTCCATGTCTGAAATGTACTCCCTCCCCACCTCTGCCTAAGAGACGCCTCTCTTCTTTCAAGATTCAGCTCAAGCACCATTTTCTTCATGGCAGTTTTCCACACCCCTCCCCCTACCAACTGCCAGTTCCCTTCCTCCCACTACCTTGTAATTAATTACTTTGCATTTATTTATATTTATTCTGTACATGCTACATATAGTGTGTATATACATATACGTACACATGTATATGCATGCATCCACACACACACATACTTGTATTCCTTGTTGGAATTGAAAGTACCTTGAAAATAGAGGTTTCATTCTTTATGTTTTTATCTCCAGTGCCTAGGAAGAGCTCTGTCATATAGTAGGTACTTAATAAATGCTTGTTGTTTTATTGGATGCTTCCGTATTTCCATGACCCGGGCTGTGGCAGGCAGAAGCTATAGGAAATGCAGGGGGCAGTTGCTGTGCCTATAGCACATTAGAACTTTCCCAGATAGGTAACCATTGCAATTCAAAGGTGCACTAGGTGGGCATTCAAACATTGCTGTTGTCGAAGTCTGTCTTTTCTTTCTTCATCCATGTTCTAGGGGTCTGAAGGGGGAGGGAGGGCAGGTGGGAAAACTTGGACATTGTGAAAATTGCTGGCTAGTCTCACCAAGTCGTCAGAGAGGCACTAAACCCAGACCAGACAAAACAACACTATGGATAACAGCATGGGGGGATTCCGGACCACAAAGCTAGCTTTGCCTGCTTTCTATTTCCGCATTTTCTCATACACCAAATGGAAATTCAAGATTGAACCGATCTGGCCAAGGCACACCGGCCCTGAAGACAGAGCAGAGCTGGCTCAAATGCCTATGAAGCCCAATGCTGACACTCGGTTCCAGGCAAGCTCCTCTATTCCATGTTTGTTGCTAACAGTCATGGCATGTTTGTCTTTTTTTTTTTTTTTTGGTGAGGCATTTAGGGTTAAGTGACTTGCCCAGAGTTACACAGCTAGTGAATGTCATGTGTTTGAGGCCAGATTTGAACTCAGGTCCTCCTGACTTCAGGTCTAGTGTTCTATCCACTGTGCCACCTAGCTGCCCCCTTTTGATGGTTCTTGAAAGACCTTTGAATTGACTCAAAAACCTCATGACCACTAGTTAGTAGACTAAAAGTCTATTGTTAACAAAGCATCAAGTTTATGTATTAAGGGAAGGCAATCGAATGTTTATCAGAATGGGAAAGCACCTTAATGACCAACTTAGGTCAACTTGTACCTGCCTAAGAATCCCTCCAACAACGTCCTTATCCAGTGGTCATCTAGCCATGCCCTCCCTAAGAAGCTTGGTCTATTTTGGAGTAGATCCAATTATCAGGAAGCTCTCCCTTGTATCTAGTCCAGGAGTGGAGAAACTGCAACCTTGAGGTCACATGTGGCCCTCTAGGTCCTCAAGTGTGGCCCTTGGATTCAGTCAAAGGGCTGCACTTGAGGACCTACAGGGCCACATGTGACCTTGAGGCC